GCAAAAAACCCTACACGAACCCAACACGAGATGGACGGTGAACATTACTCTGAAATTTGGCAGTAATCTTTATTTGTTGACAACTTCCGCAGACAAAAAAAATAACGCCATTTTTTTAAACTGGTAAATATCTCACAAAAAAAGGACAAGACGCCCCCTTTTGGTCTGCTGCCATGGGAGCCGCAAGTTGACAGGTTGCACTATCACATACGCACCCATGTAGGAAACAGTGTAAAATCAGACCGAAATAGCTCCGCCTGTTGACTCTATAGGGAAAAGATTGGCCTCTTTTTTTCAATGTAAATTAAAGATTATGGCCAGCAGATCACTTTTCGTTTCAGTTTTATGGGGGTTAGCCCGATAGTCTTTTATCAGCCTTTCCCAATGACACCCCCAATGTAATATTAAAACTCTGCGCTAAGCTCTGAACGTAGCTGCCCTCCTCTATCCAAATTTAAAATAGGCCTGCAATTTTTTTTTGGGGGGGGGTGGTGAAAGAAATACCTCGAACTAGAAACTATCAGTCCAAATTCAGGATTTATAGAAATATTTCTATGATCCCTCGTTGTTCGCGAAGGCGACGGACAATGTTGTCTTTGAAGTAGTCTGTAATTGCTTCGTGTCACTAATTAATCGGAAAATTTACATGTATAGAAATTCAGCAATTAACATGTCGATGGCGTGACTGCCATCCTTTTCTCATTGAATAAAATACCGTGTTAATTAGCAAAGCATTAAAAATGGGGAGAAGATTTATACCAACCAATCTGAAATTTGAGTTGAGGGGAGTATAAGTAATCCTCATTTCAAGAATACACAAATCCTTGTGCAATGCAAGATCAAGTGTTTGGAGTTAGTTGTAGATTTTGTTCAGCTAAGTATTTGTCACAAATTTAAGTACCAATCGCAAATATAATTATCACAAGGTGAAAATCATCAGAGTGGTCGACGTGGCTTTTGATCTTTATTCTGAGAGCAATAATAGGATTAACAGGACATTTTACACTACAGAATACGTCTATGCAACTTGATTTGAATTACTGTTAGATATGTCAAATTGCTGATTAAAGAAAATATAGCAAAAGGACCATGGCATATGCATGGACCAAGTGACATTCAACTGAGACTTATTTTGCGCAATTGATATACATGTAATACTAGAGTTAAAAGATTATTTGGCATATTCAAATTTTAAAAAAATGCTTTAAGTTCTGCCTGTAAAAGGTATGGACACCACTTCCTTTTTTTACATATTCAAGGAGATAGCATGTCAAAATAAATGTTGACTGAAAAATTCACGAAGTTCCTTTTTACACTTCATTACAAATTGTGGCAAAATGAGCGTTCTTGTATCCTAAAAACGGGATATCTTTCAGAGGCGTTTTGACACAGAAATATTCATTTCATATAGCCC